CGGGCGGCACTTGGCTGCACTGCCCGCCCGGCTCCCCCGAGCCGGAGTCGAGCGCACCTGGGGGACTGCGCCCCAGGAGCCCGAGGGCCGGCGCCGGGCACAGCTGGGCGTCCAGGCTCCCGGGTCTCCGAGCGGGCAGCGTGCTGAGGGCTGGGGGCTGAGGCCCGATGCTGCAGGTTGGGGCCGGGCTGGGTGCTCTGACCGGCGACCCCAGCTGGGGGGCGTGCTCCGGGGGTGTGTCCAGGCCCGGGTTCTAGTCCGGAGGTGGAGGCCTTCCTCCGCGCCCCATGCGACGTGAGGACCCAGGCGTCCAGGCCGTGCGGGGCTGGACTTGGGGGAGGGGTGAAGATCGCCGTCCTGAACCTCGGGTAGTTCCGGCCTCAGCTGCTCCTTCCGCCCTGGCTGCCCAGATAACAGTGGTGACACTCGGGCAGGGCGGGCCATTCCTTCCCGTGTCCCGCTTCCGCTGGGCAGGCGGAGTGCGGTCAACCCCAGCACCCCAACTGAAGAAGGAACCTCCTGCATAGTGGTTAAAGGGAGCCCGGAAGGCCACTGTCCCATTTTACAGATGAGGAAACTGAGGCTGGAGGTTGGGTGATGGAATGACCCTAGCTAGGTACATTTCAAAGCCGGGGACCAGGGGCTCCTGCATTCTCGTCCAGTGGAAACTGATGGAGGTGGAGTGGGGACTCTGGTCAAAACCTCCCCACCAGGCGAGGTTGACGTAGCCCATGGTGAAGCCAAGTCCATTCTAGAGGCAGGAAGACCGTATGCGAGCCCTGACTTTGCAGTTATTGCTCATCTAAAGTATATTTATCCGGCTGCTTGTATAACAGGCTCTGAGCCACTTAGCCATTCAGGGTGCCTAGTCTCGTCACTTGCCCTCTTCGAACCTCCACTTCCCTGTTTACAAGTTGGGGGGTGACACCAGGAGCTACCTCACAGAATGGGGGAGGGGTAAACAGGAGTGAAGATGGAAGTCCAGCCTGGAACCCAGAAGGCTTAAGGGTGTGTGTCACGGGCAGAGGACCCAGCATCCTAAGCCCACCCTCCCCCACAGAAATTTTGAGTGGAGTCATTCGGAGCGTCAAAAAGGATGGTGAATGGAAGGTAGGAGTGAGCCAGATGGTTCGTGAGCCAGATGGTTCGTGATCCGTCTCTCCGTGTGCCCTGAATGTGAGGCACCCCCAAACTCCTGAGGGGTCTGGGTGGGTCTGATGAGTGGGGCTGGGGTCCTGGGTCCTCCCATCCAGCTCTTGAAGCTGACAGTCCTGCTCACCACCCCAGCCCCACCTCTGGGGCAGCTTCAGCCTCTCTTGCCCACCTGTCCGCCCATCATCCGTCTCTCCGTCCATCTGGACAGGTGCTCATCATGGACCACCCAAGCATGCGAATTTTGTCATCCTGCTGCAAGATGTCAGACATCCTGGCTGAGGGCATCACCAGTGAGTGACACCCCACCCCGTGGTCTCCAGATGGGACCTGAGTGTGGGAGCATGGGCAACCCCTGTGTGTGTACCTGTATAGAACCCTCAGGTTGAACTCCGTGTGGGGCCCCCAGAATGCATAGCCCCTGGGGAGTGGCCGTGTGACCCTGAAGTGCAGAGCACTGCAGTGTCTGACACGTGCTGTGCGCCGGTCCCAGTGCTGCCTTCACGTGTCCCTTCCTCTGTCCCGACTAGTTGTGGAGGACATCAACAAGCGGCGAGAGCCCATCCCCAGCCTGGAGGCCATTTACCTGCTGAGTCCCACGGAGAAGGTGCCTGTGTGAGCGAGTGTGTGAGTGCGTGGGTGCACGCCCCTCTGCACGTCTGCATGTGTGTGGGAGCACAGGCAAGGCTGAGGGGCTGGGGTAGCGGACAGGGGGCTCCGGGGGTGCAGGGCCAGGCCTAGAGATTGATCCGCATCCCCCAGTCGGTGCAGGCCCTGATCGCAGACTTCCGGGGGACCCCGACCTTCACCTACAAAGCAGCACACATCTTCTTCACAGACAGTGAGTGAGGATCACCTGTGGAGAGCGCCGGAGAAGGGGTTGAGGCTGGGGGTGGGGCCGGCCCTGGTCTAATGTCCCCTCCTGCCCACCCTAGCCTGCCCTGAGCCTCTGTTCACTGAGCTGGGCCGCTCCCGTCTGGCAAAGGTAGTGAAGACGCTGAAGGAGATCCACCTTGCCTTCCTCCCCTACGAGGCCCAGGTACAGCCCCGCCTGGCCCTGGGCAGGTTGTGGGGGTCTGTTACCCAGCAACCCAGGTTCCCTCAGAAACAGGCTCAGAGACCAGTAAAGGGGACAGCGAGTCAGAGGCAGGCGCCAACATGGCATGACTGGGGCGTGGGCAGCTGCAAGGGGCATGGGGCAGCCCCTGAGTTGTCCCGCCCAAGGGGGCGGTGCTGGGGCATTTCTCCGGCTCCTCCTCCAGGCGGGCGCCCGCCTCGGGCAGCGCTGGCACTGGTATCCTTGCAGGTGTTCTCCCTGGACGCCCCCCACAGCACCTACAACCTCTACTGCCCCTTCCGGGCAGGGCAGCGGGCACGGCAGCTTGAGGCACTGGCCCAGCAGATTGCCACGCTCTGTGCCACCCTGCAGGAGTACCCAGCCATCCGCTACCACAAGTGGGGACCCCACCCTGATGCTGCCCCCTGACCCCGGCCCCATCCCGCATCCCACCTTTCCCCTCTTTTTGGACCCTAGCCCCAGTCCTCACCCTGTTACCTGACTCCTATCCCTGGCCCCATCCTTGACCCCCAGTCTGTGCTGGCCCTCCCCAACACCACTCCCTCTGGCCCCATATCTGCCCATCCCACCCCCAGGGGACCAGAGGACACGGCCCAGCTGGCCCACGCAGTCCTGGCCAAGCTGAATGCCTTCAAGGCAGACACTCCCAGTCTGGGCGAGGTAAGGGGGTGTGCTGGAGAGGTGGGGCGAGGCCCCAGCCAGGGTCAGGGTTAATGTCCTCATCCCTGCCCA